AAAGCTTTTTGAATTACTATATGTGTGCCCTAGATATATATGTACTTGAGTACTTGAGAACCTTGTCCTTCCTTGTTTAGACAAAATCTGAATTTCATCATGTGATTCTCCTTACTGTGTACCACATGTGTATTTTTATCGCTCTTGTTGGTATAAACATGTGCTGCATCTTATTAAAGATATTGATTAAACACTATGCTTTTGCTATAATTAAACATTTAAAGAGATATCCATTGGATAAGATTATCATTCAACTTCAATACTTTTATTTGAATAATTTTGAAGCACTATTGGTTATCATTTGAGAGCGAGGTGCAAGATAAAATCAGAGTGGGGTGATCAAAAGTGCCACTATTAGGTTGCTCAAAATTTGACATTGTTGCAATATCTAGAGACACTGTTAAATAGACCAGACTGTTTAAATCTGTGGTTTGGGAAAAACTCTGCCCTATATAGCATGCCAGCAGATAGGGCAATGCTGGCTTCTGGTATTTCATTATGCCAGAATACTGATGTGTTACTAAGTACCAAAATAACAGTGTTTTTGTTGCTGTAATACTATTTTGATATTTTTTTTTTACAAATTTGAAATCTAGATCATTTCTGCATTAAAATTCTTCTAGAGAATTATATGTTACATTAAGTTTTCAACTGGAAACAAAAGTATATTCCTTCAAAAACATTCTTCATTGTTTAAAACACTTCCAGGGCATCTTACTGTTTTTATTCCAAGTACTTGCCTTATCAATGAGGTTGAGCATATTATACTTATTGTCTCCTTCTGTTTCTTTGTGAGGCCATTTTGGAATTCTTCTATATTTGGAAGACTCCAAAGGGCTTTAAGGAGGATGGGAGAAGCCCATGGAAGGAGGGTTGGAGAGAACAGTGTGGAGAAGGGATGATAGGAAGGTTCCCAGACCCCAATCAAGCCCCTCCCCTGATGCTTGATCATCTCTTTCCCCTAGAAGTAGATTCTTTCTGCTACTCTCATTTTTTCCCCTTAGGACCAGATCTAATCTCTAGGTCTTCCCCTTCCAACGATAGTTTATTTAAACCAGGGATTTCTTTTTTAGTCATCCAACTGAGTTACACTTAGGCATGAAAGACAGAAGAGATTCAGCCCTGGACCCTGTTTTTCTTAGTGTAAATTGCTTCTGAGAAAGAAGTATAGAAGATTATCACAATGTAATCTCACTTTTTAAAGTATGAAAAGAGCAATATATTTTGTTCTCATATTAAAATCACTAAACACTTTGATGGACAAGGCTAAGTATTCAGCCTTTTAAAAATTTCTCTTTCTTGTGTTCTCCGAACAGTATATATGAATGGGTAAAATTTTACAGTGATTACACTGAACCTTAGAGCACTTTAGGAGGCTCTAAAATATTATAGGCAAATGTAAGCACAAAAAAGCAAGGGCTACAACATTAATATCAGATAAATGTGTACTTAGCAAAAAAAACGTATCTCTCCTGCAACTTCATGCATGGATGGTGTGATCTATGTAGAAGATGTAATTGTTGTGCAACTTTGATAAATTCTCAAATGTAAATAAACAAATTAAACCAGAAGAACGGGACATTTAAGGTATAAGTAAGAGTGTTATCAGAACCAAGACCATGGTAGGAAAAGAGAGCAGGAAGAAGGAGAGATTGCAATGATTTGAATGAGAGAAAGTGGCATCAGTGGACTGGAAATTTCACTATTCTGGTGACCAGTCCCAGCGGTATGCTGCAACCTCACAGGATTCTAGCTGAATTTTATTTGGAGAAGAATGTAACTGTTTGCTCATGTCTGTAATGAATAAAGATAAGTAGACCTGAGTATGAAAGGGAAGAGCTAGAAGAGGAGTAACATACAAATGTTAGCGAGAGTGGAGGGGTAATGGTTTGGAAATGGCAAAGAGGAACAATAGGAAATGAAACCCCACCTCTTGTGACCAAAGGATATGGGAAATGAGAGAATAAAGTGCTACCTCTTGAGATGCCACCAGCAGAAACTAGGTCCTTAGGGCCAAGGCAGGCTTTGGTGAGGCATAAGGAGAAGGAAGCACACAGAGAAATGATTGAGATATGAAGAAAAGCTGGTAACTCTGGAAGGATGGGTCCAGGGAACACAGAAGAGGCCTGTGAGACTTGGAGAGACTTGGGACTAGATACATAAAGCCTTACGGGAAGCAGAGGGTAACGGCTAATATCATAGGAGTCAACTGACAAAATGACACATAAGAAGCATCTGTCAATTTAGTCTCATTTTGAGGAGGGTGGAAACTCCCTGATGCCCAGAGGCCCTGGCATTTAAAATACTCCAGTGTCTGCAATATACAAAATCAGTATTCAATATTAGTGACTTAAAACCATAATCATATAGAAAGCTAAAAGCAATTTCAATTAATTCCCTTTTACCTATGAGTGACTCATTTGGTTTATAATAGGTATTGTGATATTACAGAAAGATATGTGGTCTCTGTCCCCAGTTCCTTTGTTCCCAGCTCCTAAAACTCTTGGAATTTCCTGAGTGATAAGAGTAATAGAATTGTCTTAAGCTCTAATGAGTCTGCCCTTGCCTGGCCTCTAGACAGCTTCAGGATGCGTGCTAGTTACCAGAAAGACTAATCCTTGATTAAAAGCTTGGAACTTGCAACCCTATTCCCCAGCCTCTGCAAACAGGAGAGGGGCTGGAGATTGAGTTAATCGTCAATGGCCAATGATTTAATCAACCATGTTTACCTAATGAAATCTCCATAAAAATCCCTATGTGACAGGGTTTGGAGGGCTTTTGGGTTGATGAATGCATCCATGTGCGGGGCTGGTGGTACACCCACAAGGTGCTGTGCTCTAGAGCCTCCCAGACATCACCTTTTGTACCTCTTCCTCTGGTTTATTCGTATTCTTTATAATAAACTGGTAAATGTAAGCAAAGTGTCTTCCTGAGTTTTGTGAGCTGTTTCGGCAAGTTATTAAACCTGAGCCAGCCCAGTCAGAAGTACAGGTGGCTCAAGACTTGTGACTGACATCTGAAGTGGGGGCAGTCTTGAAGGACTGAGCCCTTAGTCTATGGGGTCTAATTCCAGGTAATTAGTGTCAGAATTGAACTGACTTGTTGGACACCTAGTTGGTGTCAGAGACTTAAAGAAATGGTATTGAGGGGGAAAAAAAAGCATATATTTGATGTCAGGAGGGGAAAAACATCTCTCAGGTACTCTTTTACTATTAGCCTAAAGAACACAGAATGAGGTAAAATTGAATAGAATTCCAGCCATACTGAGATGAACTTTCTAGTACCCCCTATGCTGAAATTCAGTCATAGACTGTAATTCCAAGGTCAAATAGCAATAGCTGTAAGCACAACTGAAATCTAACTTTATGTGTGCCTAGTATTTTCTAAGAAACTACAATCTTCCTTCCTCTGTACCTCCATATAGTTTTGGTCCTAGTCCCAAGATTAGAATATAATTACTTAATCTAGATTGTAAACTTCAGGATCATTCTGAGGTCAAACTTGTTAGGATGCTCCTATTGAAATGAATAGCATTCCTAGACTGTGCTGTAATACTCTAAAATATTATGTGAGGAAAGAAGTTCAAGGTATGTGTCTACCACATAAGCCCCACAAGAAATAAATATGTCATCAATTTTAATTGTAATTATGGTATGAATTTTAACTAATCAACAAGGATAGCTGTTTGAGACGCTGAACATCTTTCTTATATGAAATTTAAAGGAATGAATCACCTCTTTAAAGTCAAAAAGTATGACAATACAGAAATTGAGGTACTTTTTCCCTCAGAATTTCTCTTTGTATATTATACTATAGTTTTTCATTGACATATACATATGCTATAGAAGTAAATAAATATCACCTCTTTGTTCTGTCTGAATTCAAATAAATATTCTGAACCAAGCATGATTCTCAGATACTTGAAAGAGTTCTGAAAACATTCATCCATTCTTCTATCTCCCTTGAAAGTAAATAACATGATAGTTTTAGTCTACATTGTTGATGTGAGATATTTTCCTCAATAACTTTCCTACGGAATAAATTTGGAAATAGAGGAAAATTTTAAACTTGGTATCTTCAAGTTGACAACAAATTTATTAAATACAGCACATAAATGCCAATGTGAATCTCTTAAGTTTAATAGATGGCTTTAGAGGACATCAAAAAAATTATATCTATTATAATCCTATATAATCAATGTGCTAACCAAAATTTTCCCAATGGCAAGCTAATTATATATTTGAAGACAGAAATCTTTAGCATGCATATCTTTAAATTATCAAAAATGTTTCTATTCATGTTATTAACCAATAACATATACTGAATTATCTGAGCATTGTTAAGAATTAGTGGATGTATCTTAGAAGAAAAAAAAATTATGCTCAACAATACATTGAAGAAAGAGAGCTGTGGTGCTGATATAACTTTCTTAGTAAATTATAAGATACCTCTCCAATCTCTGTCACCCAACTATTTCTCCTCCCCTATTATATACTGAATTTCAATCTGCAACATATGCACTTTAAATGTGATGCCAGAGATATGTGAGTATGTGAATAAGTGAGCAGGTGTTGCTGTTAAAATTAGAAAAAGAAAATGGGAAAAAAGGGAAGAGTTTATCACATCTCAATTTACATTAGCATAAAAACACAATGACATTTATATTTTGTTTGAGGTGGAAGGGTCATATGGAAATTTGACTTATGACTACATTGCTCACACCTATATGAATTAGTAGAATTTAAAGTTTAATGTATATTAGTGGACACATTTCAATTTCACAGTGAAAAAATAAAAGGTATTGGTATTTTGAAAGGCACACACTAAAAAAAAGAACAAGAGCAACAGAAAAGAAAAAGCTAACATCGCAGCTCTGCTTAAAACAGTAATTATCTCTCATTAGCAATTGATATTATATTACATCAGGAAGTGTATTAGACTCTCTGAAGCTCTCTAAAAATATTAACTTACCAAATTCAAGGTAATCCACAAATGGATATATGCCCAGGTGCTTTTGGAGGGCAGTAGAACTCTGAATGTAAGAACAATGTAATCATGATAATATAAAAAGCTGCAGGTTATAGGAATTTAAAATCAAATACAAATTTAAAATCAAACTAAAACTTTCTTGAAAGTACCACCATGTGAAACCTTTTATTTATTTTTTTGCCAGCGTATTGACATTTACTTTTTCATATAAAATCATTCTCTCTACATAGTATGTTACCTTAAACAGCTTTTAAGATAAGGTGATTTCATTTGAAAATACCCTATGTGGGCCCCACAGAAATTCTACAGTTCCATTAGTTTGCATGAAGAAAATTAATATAATAAGTTCAGCATACAAAAGGATACTGTTTTGCTTTTCTCAGAGTATCTGATACAATTGGACAAAAATATCAAGGTAATCAGGATGATCCAACTCAATGGAAGATAGTTGGTTGTGCTTTCTTTTAATATACAGTACCTCCATTGATACCAGATCTGGCAGCTTTTCAGAAATGCATGGAAAACTCAACAAATGTAAATCAGGTTTTCATGTAGATCTCCATCAAGCTTGGACCATGTTCAGAATTCAATCTAGTGTTAATGAAAGAACTACACTGTATCTAACAGCACACAATCTTGCTCAGTCAAGCTTGCTGATTTTTTGCCTTATGCAAAATGTCAAAAATATATCTTTCCAATATGTGCCCACTTTATTAAAAGACTAGTTCAGGAGCACTGACTCCTCTCAGCCATTCCAATCACCAATATCCAGGTCTTAAGACTTTATCAATCATGTTGAAATATTTTTGTTTAGTACTATTTTAGAAACCTTCCAGAGAGTCATTTGTTTTTCTTTCTTTTGGAGAGAGAAAGACCGGGGTTACCACAGCATGGTGAAGAATAACAAACAAACTTGCATTACCATATTCTATCAAATTTTATTAATATCTCCCTGACAAGACACAGAATAATAGATACTTTCAAAAAGTGACATTTCCCTCCAGATAACCCCAATTTAAAACAGGATATCCTGGTCTCCCAATTGCCTGACAGGAACTCTATTTGGATAAAATAGACCATATGTTTTCCAGGATGGAAAACAAAGACATGAAGGATTTGGTGGGAAGTTATTAGACATACCTCACAAGGATGAAGGAAAGCTGCAGAAGTGTCTTTGAGCTGCACTCTGAAGGAGCGTGTCATAACAGATTTAGGAAATGATAATCCAAGCCACAGAGAAATATTTAGCTAGTGGAAGGGAGAATACATTTTCTAACCATGAAGTTATTTAACATTTAGTTCTGTGGAGCGAAAAGTTTATAGGGGAAATTCTTTGGCTTCCCTGCTAAGGTAATTCCCTGAGGATGCCTCTTCAATTCTTATCTTAAAATACACCACTGAATCTTGGAATGGTAATGATTTTCATTACTTTTATGGGGATTTGTCAATTTTTTTTCAAGTTTGAGTATGTGAATTATTTATTACCCCAGAATAACTAGGGGAATATTCACAGATACTATTTAACAAGTATTCCTTCATTCTGAATTAATTTAGAAATAACATTTGCTTGGTACCATTGCATATGTAATTATGAAGAGGGATAACATTAGTAAACTGAAAATGACTTATACATTCTGAGCATAAACATGATTGTACTAGTGATTCTCATTAGGTATTTTCATCTGGTATCGGTAATGTGCTTGTTTCTATTACTAAGCAATATCATAAGATCTTTATTTCTTTTTTTTTTAAGATTTTATTTATTTATTCATGAGAGACAGAGAGAGAGAGAGAGAAGCAGGCTCCCAAGGAGCAGGGAGCCCGATGCGGGACTCGATCCCAGGACCCTGGGATCATGACCTGAGCCGAAGGCAGACGCTTAACCATCTGAGCCACCCAGGCGCCCAAGATCTTTATTTCTTAAGTTAACTAATAGTTAACAAATGCCTCTACTTACCGAGCACTGTACTAGGCACTGAAGAAACAGATGATCAAGTAAAACATCTATGAAACACAGTATGTTTTAAAGAGCTAAAGGTAATAAATAATCTGTCTATAAGCAGACATTTATTAAGGACCTAATATGTACTAGAAACTATGGCTAGTTGCTGAAAATTTAAAAGTGCATAAGAAAGGCATGATCGTTGCCCCCACAGATCATACAGTATAATTTAAGGGGAAATCAGTTAAAAATAATTGCAATGAAATATAATAAATTCTGACAAGGAGGTGAAGATTACTACTAGTAGGAGCACATCACTGGCCAACCAAACCACTCAAGGGAATCAAGGAGTAAAGACCTCCAGGAAGAAATGTCTAAGTTGGGACGTAAAGAATTATAAGCAGTTACAAGGTTAAGGAAGAGTGGAGAGTGGAAAGGGAGTATTACAGGCAGAGAAGCCATGTGTGAAAATCCAGAAAAGGAAGGATCTGAAAAAAGTTTAGTACCCCGGAGTCTAGCCTTTAAGAGTGGAAATGAAAAGAATTGAGGATAGGGAGAAGCAGAGGCTGGATCTAAAGGACCTGGATCACTACCTTAATGGAACTGGTCTTCATTTTAAGATCAACGAGAAACTATTTTAAGTATAGGAACAATTTATCAAACTTATCTTTGGAAATATTACAGGGACTGCACTGTGGAGAATGGATTGAGTGGAAAGCAGAGAGATCAATTAGGCTTTTGTAACAGTAATTCAAGTAAAAATAATAATGGTCTGCACTATGGCAGTGTGGGTGGAGGGAAAAAAGAAAATGTAAAAGGTATTTAGAAGACATACTGGCATTTTTGAGTGGTGAATGTGGAGAGAGAGAAAGTGAAAGAGGCAAGGCTAGAATAACCCTGGTTTTCTGATTTAGGCAACCAGTAGGAAGGTGCCAATCATATATTCAGGGGATCCAGAAAGAGAAACCATTTTAGAAAGTGGGAAGGTGGGAGTTGAGTCTTGGATATGCTGGGTTTCAGATGCATGTAAGCCCTCTGAGTAATAATATCTAACAGGCAAAGGGTCTAAGGAACATGAGAGAAGTCTACATAAGAAGAATAAACTTGGGAGTCGGTAGTACCTCAAGCCAGTAGAGTGTGTGATCATAGAAGCCAAGACACGAAAGTGCCTCAATAATAGTAATTATTCGAGACCTGCAACTCTCTCCGTGAGAGCTTCTCCTGCCCCTGGGCCTGTATGCAGGCAACTCCAAGGTGTCAAAGAGGTAATGTGCACCCAAAAAAGTCCATCATCCGATGATACATAGGAAACTGGTGGGTAAATGCTCCAGTCCTCTTGTGCCTTTTTAGCAGTCTGAGGTGTTCCAGAGGTCCCTGGGGAATTAAGGCTTGGCTGTCCATGGTGGCAACATACTTGCTAACTCACCCTTCATTGCTTCCCTCTCTGCCTCACTTCATCCCTCCTCCACCTGCATTTTCTGAAATCACCTGCAAAATTAACTCCTTGCACTTAATTCCTTGCTCAGGATCTGCTTCTGAAGGAACTAAAACTAAGATAGCTGGTAAGAGAATTTGTCTCAGAAAGCCATCTCTCAACATGGTATTCTGAAACTCAGTCATTTATCAATCAGACAGCAATTAAGGATACCATTGCTGGTCATGACATGGGTATAATTCCTGATATTGCTGCCACACTATAATTACTGGGTTCTTGTGTGAGGTGAATTGGGACGGATACAGATAGAAGGGAAGACACTGGCTTATACAATGTCTCTAAGCTTAACAGATGGGTAATTATAAGAATTTTAAAGTAGGTGGGCTGTTACTAAGTGCAATAGATTGAAACTCCAGCCCTGACCAGTTTCCCATGCCAAAGTCAGAGTTAGAGTTCCTGGTAAAGTTGTTGAAATCAGAACATTTGGATGAATATGTTTGAGACGCATGAACCTGCAGACTCCTAAGTCACCACACAGACAGAAAAGGACCCCATCCCCTTGCTAGAGAACACCAATCTCCCTTCATTAGAGGACATGTAAATGTCTCACCTGATGGAGTTGCCTCACAAGATGATGCCTGCCCCTGTGAAATCTACGCCCTCTTCTCAGTACTTCTGAACCAATAACTAGAATTAAGGCTCAGCATGGCCAGATTGGGGTGGGGGGTTAGTCCTTGCTATGGGAGGAAAAGGATTATCACCAAAATAGCTTTGGGATCTGACCAAAACATCCTGGGGAGGGGGGAGAGGCGGATAGGAGACTATGCCTGAGAATAGATATTGTGAGTGATGGCCCAGTGGGTGCAGAATAAAAGGTTGAATAAGAGAGAGTTCATTGATGTGGGGCACTTTATCATGACTCAAGATTTACTGACCAGGCAAGGTCACCTGTGGCCAGTTCTAATAGACTGATGGGTTGATTCTTCCAAGCACAGAAGAAATGATGGTAATTGAGGTAAGGTTATCAGAACTGCTCTGCCACAGTATTGAGGAAGGGGCCAAAAGGGTCAAAGAGGAATGTATGCTAGAGTGGACTTATCCTGTAAGACAGAGATGACTGTTTTTTGCAGGACAGCTGAAGGGAGTATCCCTTTACTCAAATGATAAGGCCTGGGTTAATGGGGGGATGGCATTGGTATCATTAAGAAATCCAGTGGAGGCTGTCCTTTGTAGGACAGCTAAGTAACTGGACCTTAAGTTACCAATGATGGTGATAAGACTCTGTGATAATGGAGGTCAAGTAATATTATTTAATTGTTGGAGGCAAAGTGGATATATTACCATAATACGCAGGAGATACCTGTAGTTATGGCAAATAGACCATGATGTTTTGAGAGGTGAGAGGCCTCTAAAAGGGTGTTGCTTAACTTTCAAAGCCAAGATATATCAAGAGCAGGTGAGCAAAGTCTGTGTTAGCCAACAGAATAGAAAACCATCTTATCAGCCACCAAACATGAATCAGACCCAATGAACATTGACTGAAGAGGAGGCAGGTTCTCCTTCAGGAATGATCCTGTAATGCCAGAATAAATATATACAATATCTATTCTCCAATCCTCCTCCTTACCCCCAAAAAAGACATATAGACATTTCCCAGAGGAATTGTTCCCATATATTTCAAGGATTGTTGAATAAAGTGTATGAGCTAATACTGGTAACAGGAGGATTCAAAAGATCCTCAGGACTCCTTATTAGAGCTGGGTCTAGGGAGGCCTGGTGAAAAATGATGTCCATGAACCTACTAGAGGGTTATTTTCCTGGCATCTGAGTGCACAATCAGGATGGATATAATTAACAGCTTGCAGAACCCTCACACTGGTTCTCTAATCTGTAAATTAAGAACCATAGCAGCAGGTAGAAAAGCAGCCAGGTGACAGTCCCTGAAATAGCCCCAGACCCAGCTGAAATCTCAAATGAGAAGCAAAACACATCTTCAGTGAAGTGTCAGAGATCATTGCCTCCTTCAAAGATTTTAAAAGTGCAGAAGTAATGGTCCCCATCATATCCGCATTGAATTCAACAATTTGGTGCTTTGGAAAACCAGATGGATCATGGCAAACAGCTAACGGCTGAAAACATAACTACATAGTAGCCACCAATGTAGTTGCTGTGCAGAATGTGATTTTGGATGTAGCTCGTAAAACACTTGGGAATGTTGCCCTGATCCATTTATCAAGTGATTTGGAAGTTTGATACTATATGGGGCCCAGAGCAAAAGAAGGTTCTGCAGCAGATACAGACTGCAATACACACAACACTTCTCCTTGGCCACAAGACACGGAAGATTCCACATTATTAGAGGGAGTATCCATGGTGGATAAGGATGCCATGGGGATCCACTAGCAAGCCTTGATAGCAAAGTCATGATGCACTCCCCAAGATTTCTGGAGCAAATCCATATTGCCTATACAGAAGAACTATTCAATGTTTAAAAAGTGACCTTAGCATGTATTATGCCTCAGTAGAGTGACTATGGAATTGGAGCCTCCCATATGAACCATCAGGTTGATGGGCACAGCAGCAACCCATCATGCAATGGAAACGTCTATTTGGGATTGGATTTAAGCACATAGGGAAGACAAAAGTCAGTTATGTGAACAGGTGCCCACTCTATCATGTTACCTACCTCAGTTGCACCTAACTTTCTTTCTCTTATCTCACACTCATGGCTTTGTTGAGGATTCCCTATGACCGGTTAATGGAAGAGAAGGGAAAAAAAAAAACAGTTTGTTTCACAGATGGGTTGGCTTAATATGACTGTGAGAACCAAAACTGGACCATAAATGCACTACATAGAGCCCTACTCAGCAGTGGTCCTGAATACCAATGGTGAGAGACAGTATTCCAGTGGGCAGAGCTTCAAGTAGTACACCTAGTCATCAGCTTTGTGAGTTGTGAATATGCTTGGGCAGCAGTGAATGGCTTGGTTGGTTGCTTCATCAGAAGGCCTGTAAGGAGAAGATTGGAAAATCAGAGACAAAGAAGTCTAAGGAAGAAGTGTGTGAATGAACCTAGGGGAATACACACAGAATTTGCAGTTCTTTGTGTTTCACAACAATGCCTGCCAAACTTCTCTAAAGAAAAGGCACTAAGCAACCAGATGGGCAGACTGACTTTTCCTACGGAAGTCAACCAGCCTCTGCTGTTGGCCACTTCAGTGTCTGCACAATGGATCTATGAACAGAGTAGCCATAGTGGCAGAACTTGACTCCATGAAATGACCCAGTAACATGGACTGCCCTTCACCAAAACTAACCTAGCTACTGAGCAGCTGAACAGCCCATCTGTCAGTGACCAAGGCAGACACTGAGCCCTCAATATGGCGTATCCCTCAAAGAAACCAAAGAATCACTTGGTGGAAAGTTGACTACTTTGAACCACTTCCTTCTTGGAAGGGATAGAGATTCAGAATTGTTAAAATTAACTTAGTTTCTGAGTATGAGTTTGTCTTTCTTACCTTCACTGTCTCAGTCAGCCCTACTATACAAGTTTTCACGAAGTATCTGATTTATCATCAAAGAATGCTGTGCAACATTATCTTATACCAGTTTTGTGGGGAAGAATGTGTGATAGTGGGAAGATGACTGTGGAATCCTTTATTCCTCCCATGACCACATCATCCTAAAACAGCCAAATACAAAAACATTGAAATGGTCTCCTAAAGGTACAGCTAAAATGCCAGCATACAGATAACATCCTGGAAGGTTGGGGTCCTGTCTTTCAAGATGTGGCCTATATTTTCATGTAGCCATTATATGGTACTGTGTCCATGAAAGACAAAGCATTTGGTCTGGGAAACAGGGTGGAAATGAGAGCGACTCTTGTCATCATCACCACTCCATGACCCACTAGCAGAGATTGGGTCTGGTTCTCAGAAGGAGGATATTTCCACAGGTGATGCATTAAGGACTCTACTAAATCCTTTTGGGCTCCTCATGCCAAGAGACTAAGCAAGTGTAGAAGGAAGTTACTGGACTGCCAGTGGCATCCTTTCTAATTACCATGTAAGATAGGGCTGCTAATATATAATGTCTGGAAAGTGGTGTATCTAGAAAGTATATCTAGAGCCTGGGAAATCTGTTCACTGTGACCCTTTTAGTGCTCTTGTGTCTCCCATTCCCATGACAAGGAATTGTAGCATTCCTGACCCTTGGAGCTTTAATCATGAGTTCAGACGCCCTAAAGGTTTTGCTTACCCTACTTGGCAAATCAGATAGATTAGCAGAAAAGCTAGCCATGGATAAGAGATAATAAAATGGGTGGTGAAGGAGAAAAATGATAAATACAAAAATCAATTAGTCTCAGGGCCAACTGCAGCAGGACAGAATGTAATTTGTTCCACTAATCCTTCACTAGAAGTCCTTGTATTGGTAACCTAGGAGAGTCAGTGGCAAAACTGAGTGACCTTAGATCTAAGCCCAATATTTTATATGGTGAGAAAAGGAGGCCCAAAGAATTTAAATAATTTGCCCAAAATCAGCTGGTTAATGACACAGCTGGGACAGTCTGTCCAGTGGACATTAAATGTTTGTTTACTTACTCCCCAACCCACCATACATGCACCCAAAAAAACTAGTGCCATTTCATGTTTCAACATTAGTTATATTGTCTTTTTTTATATTATTATGTTTACCTCTGTTTTCACAAAAATATAATGTCCCGCTAAATTGTCCCTCATAGGGCAATGCAGTTCTCATTAGTAAGTCTATTAGAATCTGATGACTTCGACCACTCCTTGCTACTACTGGAGGCTGGGATGTGGCAGCCTCTTATCTTGCTTGTCTCACTGCCTCTGCCCTCATCTCCTTAAAGTCCATGCTCCACACGGGTGATCCCCTTAAAATGTGAGGGAGGTCACGTCATTGTTCTGCTCAATGTCCTGTAATGGTTCCACTTTCACTAGGAGTAAAGGGTCAAATTCTCATTGGTCCTTCCTTGAGTCTGCCTCCATTCCCCGTCACCTACTGCTCCCTTTCATTCCACTCAAGACCTGCAGGCATCCTCACCACACCCACCTATGGTAGCATGCTCCTGACCTCAGGCCTTTGAACTACCTGTTCCCTCCACCTAAATGTCTGCAGAAACATCTTACCTTTTTAAACCTTTTTCAATTATGCTTAATGTCACCTTCTAAATGAGGCCTACCGGATCACCCAAGTGAGCACTATCCCCACCACAATCTACCTTATGGGCTACAATTTTATTTTGGTCAATAGTATATATTATTTTTTAACACTCTAAAGTTCACTTTTATGTATATTTTTAATTGCCTGTTTGCTCTTATTGTAACATAACCTCTACAATAGTAGGGAGCACTGTCTTTGGCTCACTTGTGCATTCCAGATGCCTAGAACTGTGGATGGCACATCCACATGCTTAATTGCTTAATAAACATGTGTTAAATTGAAGTTAATCTTTCCAATAAAAGGCTACTCAGTCCACTTACACCATACTTTTTTTAATTCCTCAAATAATTGCATTTATATTAATTATAATGATAAAGTTATAGTAATAATTTCAGATTGGACAAAGCAGTTATAGAAAAATGAGAAATCAGGTAGACTGTGTAGATTTTATATCTTATACCATTCTAAATTTCATATTTTCAGTGTATAAGCTTTTCCTGAATGTAAGTTAGTCATCTTTAAAGGGTACATTAACACTTTCAGATGACTAAGGTGCTATTTAAAACACCAAACAACAAAAAGAACAGTAGAACAGATCAACAAAACTATGAGCTGGCTCTTTGAAAGAATTAACAAGATTGATAAACCTCTGGCCAGACTTATCAAAAAGAAAAGAGAAATGACCCAAATAAATAAAATCATGAATGAAAGAGGAGAGATCACAACCAACACCAAAGAAATACAAACAATTATAAGAACATACTATGAGCAACTCTATGCCAGCAAATTACATGATCTGGAAGAAATGGATGCATTCCTAGAGATATATCAACGACCAAAACTGAACCAGGAAGAAATAGAAAACATGAATAGACCTATAACCACTAAGGAAATTGAAGCAGTAATCAAAAATCTCCCAACAAAAAAGAGCCCAGGGCCAGATGGCTTCCCAGGGGAATTCTACCAAACATTTAAAGAAGAATTAATACCTATTCTTCTGAAACTGTTCCAAAAAATAGAAATGGAAAGAAAACTTCCAAACTCGTTTTATGAGGCCACCATTACCTTGATCCCAAACCAGACAAAGACCTCATCAAAAAGGAGAACTACAGACCAATATCCTTGATGAACGTGGATGCAAAAATTCTCACCAAAATACTAGCCAATAGGATCCAACAGTACATTAAAAGGATTATTCACCACAACCAAGTGGGATTTATTCCTGGGCTGCAAGTTTGGTTCAACAACAGTAAATCAATCAATGTGATCCAATACATTAATAAAAGAAAGAACAAGAACCATATGATCCTCTCAATAGATGCAGAAAAAGCATATGACAAAGTACAGCATCCTTTCTTGATCAAAACTCTTCAGAGTGTAGGGATAGAGGGTACATACTTCAATATCATAAAAGCCATCTATGAAAAACCCACAGCAAATATCATTCTCAATGGGGAAAAACTGAGAGCTTTCCCCCTAAGGTCAGGAACACGGCAGGGATGTCCACTATCACCACTGCTATTCAACATACTATTAGAAGTCCTAGCCACAGCAATCAGACAACAAAAAGAAATCAAAGGCATCCAAATCAGCAAAGAAGTCAAACTCTCACTGTTGGCAGATGATATGATACTTTATGTGGAAAACCCAAAAGATTCCACCCCAAAACTGCTAGAACTCATACAGGAATTCAGTAAAGTGGCAGGATATAAAATCAATGCACAGAAATCAGTGGCATTCCTATACACCAACAAGACAGAAGAAAAAGAAATGAAACAGTCAATCCCATTTACAATTGGACTCCAAACCATAAGATACCTAGGAATAAATCTAACCAAAGAGGCAAAGAATCTCTACTCAGAAAACTATAAAATACTCATGAAAGAAATTGAGGAAGACACAAAGAAATGGAAAAACATTCCATGCTCATGGATTGGAAGAACCAATATTGTGAAGATGTCAATGCTACCTAGAGCAATCTACACATTCAGTGTAATCCCTATCAAAATACTATCAACTTTTTTTCAAAGAAATGGAACAAAGAATCCTAAAATTTGTATGGAACCAGAAAAGACCCCGAATAGCCAGCGGAATGTTGAAAAAGAAAAGCAAAGCTGGCGGCATCACAATTCCGGACTTCCAGCTCTATTACAAAGCTGTCATCATCAAGACAGTATGGTACTGGCACAAAAACATACACATAGATCAATGGAACAGAATTGAGAGCCCAGAAATGGACCCTCAACTCTATGGTCAACTCATCTTCTACAAAGCAGGAAAGAATGTCCAATGGAAAAAAGACAGTCTCTTCAACAAATGGTTTTGGAAAATTGGACAGCCACATGCAGAAGAATGAAACTGGACCATTTCCTTACACCACACACAAAAAATAGACTCAAAATGGCTGAAAGACCTAAATGTGAGACAGGAGTCCATCAAAATCTTAAAGGAGAACACAAGCAGCAACCTCTTCAACCTCAGCCACAGCAACTTCTTCCTAGAAACATCCCCAAAGGCAAAGGAAGCAAGGGCAAAAATGAACTATTGGGACTTCATCAAGATTAAAAAGCTTTTGCACAGCAAAAGGAACAGTCAACAAAACCAAAAGACAACCAACAGAATGGGAGAAGATATTTGCAAAAGACATATCAGATAAAGGGCTAGTATCCAAAATCTATAAAGAACTTATCAAACTCAACACCCAAAGAACAAATGATCCAATGAAGAAATGGGCAGAAGACATGAACAGACATTTTTCCAAAGAAGACATCGAAATGGCCAACAGACACATGAAAAAGTGCTCAACATCGCTCGGCATCAGG